GAGGCAATTCCGCCGATGAACCTCCCCGTCCATCCACACGACTCAAGGAAATTTTGCGAGGGGTCGGTGAAGCGGTGGCGCAAGTGTTTCAGACGCTGGAATTCTGTTCCTTGCATGTTCAGGATTTAGGACGATATTACATCCCGCTTTCAAGGCGTTTGAAGTTTTTGGGTGGTCGGCAAATTAGCTCGCGACCCCGACTCTGTGCTGCCACTCTGCATGCACCGGTTCGCAGATGTTTTAAATTTAAAAGCCCTGTGTCTGATTTGAAGTGCTCGTGGAACAGGGTTGTTCTACATAAATGTAGTTTCTTCGTGAATTAATCATAAAGTTTATACACGTTTGCAGGCATATTTCTTAGAAGATGGACAATTACTGGAAATTAGTTTGTATGGTAGCAGCAAAAACGGCCGAATTCCCCCCAGTTGCCTGTATGATATATACTAAACTGCCCAAAATATGCACAGCAATAGTGCCGTAATTTGCAATGTTTATACTTTTTTGCTGACATTCTTTATTCCAGACTTGGGTATTCGGAAAATACACCGTTTAGTGTGAATTGTCATTTCCAATTAAAAAAGGCACTGCTGTAGGTCCCCAAAAGCTTCCCCAGCCTCCAAATTCCCTACAGCTGGACTCTTTGACAAGGAAGACAGGAGTAGAAGCAAGCATTCGAACGTTTGTCCAGTGGTAGATGCAGCACTAGTAGCAGAAAATGTGGAACCTGTGAAGGGCGACAGTCTGCGTGAGAAAAGCTTCTGGTATTTTAGCTTCAGGACAATATGATTTAAGTAAATTATCAATTTTAGGGCATAAGGAACTAATAACGAGCTATACGCCTTCGCTTACGTTTGTTATACATTAGTTGAGGGTTGATATAAAAGTCCACAGATACCACCCGTGTAGTCCATTGAAATACAATCCGAATCCAGCAAAGGTCAAATGCGAGCAATGAATATAATAAATGTTCCTTGTTCTCCTACTTTGCCCCTGCACTTGGGCTGTCTTACTTCTGATTCTCTCCCCATAGCCCAGATTGTATTTAGCATGTTGCTCGAGCAGCACGCAGCTTTTCTGCTTCGGCGATCTTGTTTTAAAACAGATACACAAAAAAAATAGTACACATAACCTGCCAATTCATTCAGACCATCAGCAGCATTTATTGTGCTGCTGATGGTCTATAGTGATCTATAGTGATGCTCCTGCAATTGTGGCCATATTTCTTTATTTTCATATACCAGCTGTGATTCATGCGTGCCTGCCCTGTCAACCATGCTTAAAATGTTGGTTGAAGTTTCGACTGTAGCTATAGGCCATACCTCAATAAAGGCACATATAAAAATTTACACTTCCTACGAAAAACACGCAAAAAAAAATTTAAATAGAAACGAGCGCGCCGACAGCTAGCGTCGTCACAGCCTCCACAGGGCGAGCGGGGCGAGTCGGGGAAAAATTCTCTCCTCGCCATGACGTCACCCCGGTTAACCTAGGTCAGCCAGACGCAGGTGGCGTGTGACGTCAAATCTGACGAGCACAGACGTCAAAGAAAAATGGAGGAGGCGAGGAGAAAAGTCGTGATGTTTGCTTGACCACACAAATTGTCGGGCGACACGACTCCTGCAAAAATCGTCAAGATTCAAGCGTCCGCTTCAATTTTCACGCTTTTGCAGGAGTCGCGTCGCCCGACGATTTTTGCAGTGTCCTGTTTGGACACCCCTTTAGACGCTTTTTCGCAGCAGCACCCTTCTCCGTACTCTTTTTATGCCCTTCGAAAATACAGGTTACTCCATCCAACGGCACCCAATTTTGCGATTAAAAAAAGTGTATTACTCGAAATAAAGTTGTTGACAAAGTGTAGCCCTGGTTGTAAGCCACCCTGCGATGCCTGTTTTTTACTCCATCATTTGAGCTACCCAACCTATTAGGAAACGTGAATCTAAGATGCCCAACTTGCCCAACTACAGATTCTTCTTCATCTAAAAAGGTCTGGCAATATAACCATATTATTTATTTACTTGGAGCCATCATCATTATGATAAAGCTTTTCTAACCTCTTACGGGGGCTACTACTTCGCCTGATTGGCCTTTTGCGTGCTTATAGTGCAGGGGTGGCCAAACCGCGGCTCGCGAGCCGCGTGCGGCTCTTTGCTGGTCCAAGTGCGGCTCGCGGATCCCTCGGAAGGTGACCCCCCCCCCCCCCCCCCCCTTTGACCCTTTCCGCGTTTCCCCAAGAATGAAGGAAAGGACTTCAGAATAAAGAACAGCTTGCGGTTTGGCAGCCTTGTACCCCCATACGTGCAGTCGAACCGTTCTTCACTCGTATAATTCCACAGATCATGCTTCTTTCAATGTTCAAGGGAGTTTGCAGGACCCTAGGGGGAAAGGCACCAAGGACAGGGACTCTCAAACCCTGTATGCACTTTGGCTTGGGGTCGAGGAAATGTTCTGTCACAAGGCCTTTGTCGCTCGCCGGTGATACTTGTCCTCTTCAGATAATGGATAACGGATGTTCCCTCCATATCGTTTCTTCTTGAAGGTCGCGGAAGCCCGGGTTGAACTCATACATAGCTTCCACTAGTCACAGACGTTATATTCAAGTTTATAAAGGATCGGTTACATGCTCTGCACTCACTGTTATTTTTACCGGCTTACAGTTGTGACCCGCAGGCTGCTTTTTTATGCTTTCGGGGGGGGGGGGGGGGGGGGGGGGATAACTAGGCAGCGGTTAGTGAAGGAGCGTCTGGAACGCTTGCATGGAAGGGCAAAGGTTTGCTGTACCAAAGTCGTGCCAACTTTTGTCCAGAGTCTCGACAAAAGTTGGCTCCCCCCCCCCCCCCCCCCCCCCCCCCCCCCCCCCCCGCCGCGGCTCTTAGAAGTTTCGTGGTTCTGCTTGCGGCTCTTAGGCCGGGTCAGCCTGGCCACCCCTGTTATAGTGCAATATAAGCTATGGGTCAATTGTTGCAGTTGGCGTAGTACATTCCATTACAACGTAGCCTAGTCAGGTTCTCTCAGCGGACATTAGGGTTTGGGTCTGCATGAATGAGCTGAGCAGTAAAATGAACGGTTGCTCCTTCGCCTCCTCCAAAAAAAATGGAGGAGGCGAGGAGAAAAGTCGTGATGTTTGCTTGACCACACAAATCGTCGGGCGACACGACACCTGCAAAAATCGTCAAGATTCAAGCGTCCGCTTCAATTTTCACGCTTTTGCAGGAGTCGCGTAGCCCGACGATTTTTGCAGTGTCCTGTTTGGACACCCCTTTAGACGCTTTTTCGCAGCAGCACCCTTCTCCGTACTCTTTTTATGCCCTTCGAAAATACAGGTTACTCCATTCAACGGCACCCAATTTTGCGATTAAAAAAAGTGTATTACTCGAAATAAAGTTGTTGACAAAGTGTAGCCATGGTTGTAAGCCACCCTGCGATGCCTGTTTTTTACTCCATCATTTGAGCTACCCAACCTATTAGGAAACGTGAATCTAAGATGCCCAACTTGCCCAACTACAGATTCTTCTTCATCTAAAAAGGTCTGGCAATATAACCATATTATTTATTTACTTGGAGCCATCATCATTATGATAAAGCTTTTCTAACCTCTTACGGGGGCTACTACTTCGCCTGATTGGCCTTTTGCGTGCTTATAGTGCAATATAAGCTATGGGTCAATTGTTGCAGTTGGCGTAGTACATTCCATTACAACGTAGCCTAGTCAGGTTCTCTCAGCGGACATTAGGGTTTGGGTCTGCATGAATGAGCTGAGCAGTAAAATGAACGGTTGCTCCTTCGCCTCCTCCAAAAAAAATGGAGGAGGCGAGGAGAAAAGTCGTGATGTTTGCTTGACCACACAAATCGTCGGGCGACACGACTCCTGCAAAAATCGTCAAGATTCAAGCGTCCGCTTCAATTTTCACGCTTTTGCAGGAGTCGCGTCGCCCGACGATTTTTGCAGTGTCCTGTTTGGACACCCCTTTAGACGCTTTTTCGCAGCAGCACCCTTCTCCGTACTCTTTTTATGCCCTTCGAAAATACAGGTTACTCCATCCAACGGCACCCAATTTTGCGATTAAAAAAAGTGTATTACTCGAAATAAAGTTGTTGACAAAGTGTAGCCATGGTTGTAAGCCACCCTGCGATGCCTGTTTTTTACTCCATCATTTGAGCTACCCAACCTATTAGGAAACGTGAATCTAAGATGCCCAACTTGCCCAACTACAGATTCTTCTTCATCTAAAAAGGTCTGGCAATATAACCATATTATTTATTTACTTGGAGCCATCATCACTATGATAAAGCTTTTCTAACCTCTTACGGGGGCTACTACTTCGCCTGATTGGCCTTTTGCGTGCTTATAGTGCAATATAAGCTATGGGTCAATTGTTGCAGTTGGCGTAGTACATTCCATTACAACGTAGCCTAGTCAGGTTCTCTCAGCGGACATTAGGGTTTGGGTCTGCATGAATGAGCTGAGCAGTAAAATGAACGGTTGCTCCTTCGAACGTGCACGGTAATGCTTGGCTCAAGGAGTCAAAGCATACGGTGCATGGTGTAGGGTGCCCTTATGTCCGCCACGCCATGGCACGGACATGACGGCATCTCATCATTGAAGAAGTCGAGTTAAAATGTAAGAGCAAGAGAAAAGAAAGGCCGTTAAATCCTAAACACTCTCGTGTGCAACGAAGAACGCGAGACTATTTTTATCGAAAACTATGCATCCGTTGGTGATCGAGTCAACCGAGTGTCTCAGCACACGGCAGCTTCGGATCACGTGCACGGGCGAAAGCTCGCGCTGTAGAACCCGATCAGGGGGGAAAGCCGGGCCCCTGTCCGTTTTGATCTGGATCAGCATCGTGCCGGCGTGCGTTCGTGTATTCGATGCACGGTAAAGGCCCCAGGTTAGCAGTCGTGCAAGTGCTGCACAAGCTACATTTTTTTTAAAACACAAACGTCTATTTTTTTATTTATTTTTTACGCTTGATGTTTGCGTTGTATGCGTTTTCTCGCAGCACACCCGGGCCCGAGGACGCAGCCTCGTGGCAGCAGGCCTGGCCCGACGGGCCCCTGGAGGACAGCCCGGTGCCCCCGTGGAACACGGCGGCTTTGCCAGAGTCCCCCACGCCTCCCCTCCGCCTGGGTGCCTGCAGTCGGGCCGGGTCCACGGTCGGTGAGTCGGTGTTATTAAACGTACATAGTTCCTCTGCTCCTTGTGGCGAGGGTTACAGTGACGTCACGGTGCTGGCCTCTGATAGGAAGACTGCTCCGGACGGGGGCAAGCCTGCGCTTTAGAATTCTGACGTCATCATAGTGAAATCAAGCGAAGACGCAGAATAATGATTGGGGTTGTGCAGATATTTATACAGCGTGTAGTTGGTCAGCCATTAGACGCAGATTGAACACGAGTGCTGCGGGATCGGGCGCCATACGACTGTAGTGACGCTCCATGGTGGAGGATGAGGATGTTCGCAGGATTTGTCCGTCGCGGCATATATCGTAAGATATGAACCAGAGTGTAGTCGTAGCAAGGGCTGTCTTGCCTTTACCGCGGCTGTCAGAAATCCACTGTTTCTTACCGAACGAGGGCTCGGACTTCGTGAAAGAAGTGAGAGAAGGCCTCGAAGGATGCGTTGCTTTATCAACTACCATATGGAGCTACAATAAACGAGGAACTCGCGACCGAGATGCTGTTACACTAAAGAGAGTACCGTCGCGATTCCCCCTCACTTTTGCCGCGCCTCCTTTCTTATGCGTAAAGAGACGCGTTTTGGTCGACTTCTCTGCCGTCTGCCACGTTGCCCTAAACCGATGACAACAAGCATTTCGACTCGTTGGTACTCACTTTCTGATACAGCCTATACCCTCACCAGGGTGCCAGACACCGACGTTTATTCGCCAACAAATCAAAATTATGTGTTTGAAACTCGGGGAGGCGAGCGGTCGTGCGACACCACTGCGTGATGCACTTCAAAAAGGCCAGCAATAGCATACTGCACCGGGTAAATTTCTCATCTATGGCAGACACCGGATCCCCGTTGGGACTGGGCTAGTTCCCGCTATCTAAACAAACGTCCAACACAAAGTTTCAGATATCGCTCAATGAACCTCGCATGTAGGTTCCGTGTTTTTGGTAAATATCGAGAAATCCCCAAAATTACCCACACCCTTTAACTAGGTTGGGGAAATTGACACCGAAGACACCGCATCCGCGAAAAACAAAACACCAGAAAAGACACCCCCCATTCGAAGAAAGATAAACTCCGCAAAACACGGACACGTCCGTACTCTTATCCCATGGGCTTTTCCGGTGTGTTCGCTTGAACGGGAGTTGTCGACGCGCAGGTGCCGTGTCCCGATGCTCGTCCCCGTGTCCGGCGGCGCCGGCCCTCGCCGAGCGTCTCGCCGAGATCGCCGTGGAGAGGCACAAGGTGACGCTGCTTGAGACGCTACACCAAGGTGAGTGAGCTATACTGGCTATTCGGAGCGCAAGTTCGTCTACTTCTCGCACGTGGGTTGCGGTAATGTCAGAACGCCGAGCCCTTGTTGACATATTGAAAAAAAAAAAATAGTAGGTCGACCTCAAGGCATGTAGCATTGAGGTCTGCCCACTACCCTTTCAATCAAAACCAACCAGAGCTCGGCGTCGTTCTCACATCACCGTAACTCCTGCGCAAGTAGCAGACGACTTGCTCTCCGCATACGGAGGGAAACTGCGGGTGAGGAGGAGATGAGAGCGTGCGGCGACGTACGTCAGAGCGCCGAGCTCTGCTTGGAAGGATTGGCGGGTAGAGGCGAAGGCTGGATGACTTTCTCTTTGCCCACTGTCTCGAGGTAGTGGACTTCGAGGAAGGCAGCTAGTTTATGCGTCTACGCGCTATCCTTCCAATCAGAGCTTGGCGCTGTGACGTCACCGCAAGCTCTCGTTTCTTCCTCTTAGTTTCTTTTCGTGTGTATTCCTACCCGACCTTAATCAACCGCCATGTGTTCTGCAGTGTCAGAGACTTTGTCTTGGAACACTGCGCAGTGTACGAGCGCAGGGTCAAAGCCGTAAAAGGCAGTGGCAGGTCGGGCTTTAAAAGTAGCTTCAAAAACCGAGAGTTTGCTGCTGGTCTTATCTGCACAATCAGTAGTGGATGCATGATTTTCCACTTGTAAAATCGAGCGTGAGAAAATCTCCGCTCACCACAAGAAAAGAAGAAAAAAAAAAAGATTTCATAGCTGCTCCTGGATTAGGTTCGCTTTTGAAATAGGTAGTACCTTGCCATGGCAGCCATGAAGAGTTCATCCTTATCATCATGCACTTATATGGGGCGAGTCAATCTGTTTGCTCAACTGCCGCTTGAATTGAAAGGGGCCATCGTAAAACGAACAACATGAACCTACACTAGATATAATGATAGGACGTTGAATGGTTCCGTACTGCAGGTACGTTCGGTCAGGTGCACCATGGCCTCCTCATCGAAGATTGGGCTGAAGTGGGCACCGAGCAGAACGTCATCGTCAAGACTGTCACCCGTGAGTAAAATGCTCGAAAACTGCTCGGGAAGGTAGGGCTTTACATATTAATGCGAGGAAGAAAAAAAGGGGGGGGGGGGGGGGGGGGGGGAGAGAGAGATAGAGAGAAAGAGTCAGACGACGAGGTGACAAATGTTACAGTGCCATCGTACAAGGAAGGCCTCAGACAGTGTCTGAAGACTGTCTTGTGTATGATGTATGAGCAGTATATCAGCAATGTAACATCTCTTGGTGGGTGCGTGAAGCGGACCTTCGAGACAGCGCACATCATTCACACTCTTGCAACCGAGTACGACCAAGAGAGACGAGACCTGTTTAAACCTCTTAAAATTTCTTAGGGCGAGGGAACACACTGGCACTCTGGCGCCATCTATGTGGTGACCCTGGAACTGCATGTCACAATTGAGCGAAGGTTTCGCGGGATTTCCGAGATCAAATGTGCGTAATACCCATAAGAAAGGCTCGTTTATAACGTTGACAAAAGTTTTTCGAGCCAAGAAAGAAAGGATAATGCGCGAGAGAAATAGAAAATATGCCCGACCGGCAAGTTTACACTGCTCCCGGTTTCAAGGCACCCAGTTCTAAGAGGTCGCAAGAGTGTGAACGGGCTTTTATATCCCTTGTACGCCATCCCTCTCACTAGTAGCCTTGTGAACCGGTAGCAATCACGACAGTCTTCTGCGAATGAAGACATCCGAAATTTCGATCAATCTTTCTTGGGTACGGGACAAGGACAGAAATCCATCCGACTCGCAGGCGAGGCGTCGGCGGCGCAGACGTCGCTGCTGGTCCGCGAGGGCATGGCCCTGGCCGGCATGAACCACGCCAACGTGCTGGCCGTCGTCGGTGCCGCCTGCGACGAGCCCGGGCCCCCGCTGCTGCTCTACCCCTACATGAGCGGGGGAAGCCTCAAGCGCTTCCTCAGGAACGCTGACCAGGTGTGGACCGCGCGCGATCCCAATCTGGACATCACCAGATCCAACCTGGAATTTCCGCGTAATGGCGAATAACTCCAAATAAACCGCTAAGGTTGGCGGGTTCGAATCCTGGCCGAAGGTGCCCGATATCTAACGGAGGCGTATTGCGCAGAAGACCCCCGGGTGGTCGAAAATAATCCCCAGTCCTCCGCTCGGTCGCGCCAGATGCTCTTCCGGTGGGTTTGGCGCGTAAAACCCCAAATTTGACTTTAAATGAACAGCCGAAGTTAATACATTACAAAAGCAACAGAAATTTAGTTTCATGATCGTATACCAGATGTTTCAGCGAAGACTTCAAAAAGTAAAAGGTAAAAGGGGAAAAAAAAGCTTTCCGGGAATAAATTGTTAGCGACAGCATACACCAGGGATTGCAATAATACCAATAATAATAATAATAATAATAATAATAATAATAATAATAATAATAATAATAATAATAATAGATTCTGAATAATTAAAAACTTACTAGTTCAATTAAATTAGCACAGTTTGAGGAAAAAAAACATTGGGTCTGCAGGCCAGGTGGTGATAATTAATCATAATGTAACTCATTAGACTACGCTGTGGAAAAATTTGAAATTTTTAGTTCAAGGAAGACAACAAACTGGTTACGGACTGGTTATACCAAATACTTCACTAGGATTTGGTTGTACCTAGTGGTGGCGGCATCTCCCGATAGGCGTCGCGAACAGACGACGCACTGTACGTTGTCTGTCCGCTGCGTCTATCGGGAAATGGCGCCACAAGTTGCATTCATCGCTAACTTGGTCGTCTGCGAACACGCCCGACGTTGACTTGGGCAAGTCTGTTCGCATTCTTCGCAGGAGGAAAGTTTTGAGATTTCATAAGGTAAAAGTGGCCACCTCAATGCAGATTTGAAAGTTCGAGATTTCTAGGACAGCGTTTACATGGATGCGATCGTAGCGCAGAGGGACCAATCACACGCACCCTGCCTCCCTACTTCTTCGTCTTCTATATCCATCTACTACCAATCACAATAGTCAAATATCGATTCAATGCGCTACAGTCGCATCTGCGTAAACGCAGTCATTGTGCAGGCGCCCACTTTTCCGGCTCGCTTTACAGCGTAAGAAGTTGAACCCTTGTATCCACACAAGATATCTTGCGATTCATTCAAAAACTCACATTTTGATGTATTTCTGCGCTGCCTGCCAGGTGCTCGTCACGCAGGACCTGGTGGACATGGCTATCCAGGTGGCCGAAGGACTCCAGTACCTGCACAAGAGGGGCTTCGTGCACAGGGACGTGGGAACCAGGAACTGCCTGTGAGTGTCAGCCTCCCCACGAAAGGTCCTTGAATTCTAGCAAACAGCAAAATTCGTAATGTAGACACCTTAAAAGCTATGTCTTAAGCTTTATTTAGATCTTATTAGCAGGAGTGTCGTAATAGCCAATTAAACTTTCGACGTAGACCCGTCTGTTGCGGCGCACCGAAGGTAGGAAAGCGCGAGAGCGGGAAAAAAAAAATAGCAAAAGTGACGTCATCAGCGGGCTCAGGTGACCTTTGCTCGGCACTAAGCTGGCTCAGGGATGCCGTCAATGACGTCACGACGCTCTCGACAGATAACAGGCGGCAGAGAAGATCGCCAGAATCCCGGCGGCAATCGTTGCACGTATTAATGTGAAACTGTCCCATTGAGCGAGCTGACGTCATCAGTTTGAAGCGCGAAAACGGCACCTAGTTTTCCCGATCCCAAAGGAGCGAAGTAACGCTGATGGATTTCGGCTTCGGTTCCATTGGCTGGCGCGCGTCGAGGGGCTCCCATTGGCCGCTGCGCTCGTCAGTTTCCATGACCGCTCACTCATGGCGCTGCGTGTCGATCAGCGCATCAGCGCAGAGCGTCCAAGGTCACCAGTGAAGCACACGCGCTGACCGGCGACGAAAACTACGTAGCAGACGAAAAAGGGAGCAGTCGAGCGGCTTGCATGCTTTCGCATTCACAACTCATAATAAGTGCTTAGGTGTACCTCGAGCTTTGGTTTTGAAAATAAATACGGTTTACGTTTAAGTCTGCAAATGTGCGATAACTGAATTCACGAGACAAAAAGATATAGAAGCGTATCGCGCCACGATTCAGAGGTGCCCGAAGCTGGTGGAAGCATCGCACGAAACTTTTGAAGGGCAAACATACCTGAGTAAAAACATTAAAAAAAATTATTAAATAACGATAATTGAGTGCTGTCTTTGTACCCTTTTACTGGCGCAACAACCATCAGATGGCGGAAGGGGCCTCGGCGCCAAAAAAACCTTACGGCGCAAGCCTATTGTTCGGTCGCGTTAAAAGCTGACAATGTTTTTTTTTTTGTTTTTTTAGTAAAAAACTGCACGCACCCAATAAAACACACTAACTGACACAAAAATAATAAAACCGATGGTTCGTCGAGTAATTTGAGCAACATGCATGGCGCCTGCCTTTGGCGTCGTGCGTGTTGCTGTTGCGTCAGTCAGAGGGTGCGTGGATAGCAGACGAACACCGTAGGTAAAAAAAAACGGTTACCTTCTTTTTTTAACTTATTATTCGGGTATTTTCGTTCTTCGAAATTTTCATGCGATGCTTCTGCCACCTTCGGGCACCTCTGTGGTAAATTGTAGCGCGATAGTTACCAAGCCGATTTGAATACTTCGACGCAATTTGAAATATACCCGTCGCGTTTAGAAATATGCTGAATATGATCCACAAAAACCGTAAATGACAGTCATGGGGTTTGTATTTTGAGCCTGATAGCTGTATTTTTCGTTATAAAAGGCCCGATCTGGCAAGAGCTCAGAGAGCAGTCAGCGGAGAGCCCGCGTGACATCCGGCGCAATCGTGACGTAGTTCGTCTCGGGACGAGCAAAGCTGAGGCAAGGCTGGCGTCGATGAGACGATAGCAAGCAGGGTATCTGGCAGCCGCCATTTCTCTGCTCGGGCGGGCAAGTGATTGCGATTACAAGGTTGGCAAAGCTACGTTCAGGCGCATGCTGCACATGCTTCTACGCATGCATGAGGCGCCAGTGAGGCATATACGGCTCTGCAGTGAGGATATATAGTTCTAGGCGAGACAGGCATCGTCACTAAACCTGCCAATGTTTCTAGACGGACATTGCAAACGAGGCTTTAGCGACATCCACCAGGGGCAATTCGCTAATCGTTTGATTCGGTTTAAAGCACCTTTTTAGTGTCTTTTTCAACGAAAGGTTGGGGTGTCCGCATCAATGTCATACTTGGACGTAGTTCAACTACTCTACTCAAACTACTGTAGTTTAACTACTTTTTGGAGTAACTTGGTAACTTTCAATTACAATTTTATTTGGGTAATTAGTAGTTTAATTTAACTACATTTTTCAGGTAACTTCTACTCAAACTACTAACTACTTCCGAAATCTAATGCTAAATTTGCTCATCACAAAAGTTTGAGCGCAGAAACAAATAAGACGCCGGCAGATGAAGGGGCATTCCCCCAACAAGAAGCCCCATCCCATTCCGTTCCCGTAGAAACTGCATCACTGGCGTCCTTGGGTCAAGGTGGCGACGAGCAGCCAAAACATAATACCGGCGCGCACGAACGCAGGCAGAAACAAGCCTTGGTCGGGTATTGACCTAATCCGGTAATGCACGCAGGCGCCGCGCCTCCAACTGCAACCGTGAAACACGAGGACACTCCCAGGGTTATTGTTGTTTTCATGCTGTCAAGCGGTTTGGGGTTTCCACGGAAGGCGCCACTAGAGTGACCTCGCAGCTGGGCACCTGCTCCCATGGTCGCCTTGTCGACAGCACTTACTCCCTTGCAAAGCCCGGCTCCCCCGCGCAAAAACGTAGACACGGAGAATCCGTTCATGGGAGCACGTTCACGCTTCCAGCTGCAACTGTATGAGCGACAATGCTTGTTCACGTAATTCAACTACGCGTCCTTCCGACCTCCCACGCTAAGGAGACCTCCTTTTTGTTGAAAACGATTTACTTGTCAGGCGCGCCAGGATACCGTAGTCGCCGGCGAAAATTGCGAGTCACCCTTGGGAGTTCCTTTTGTTGGACCCGGCATCATCGGCGAAGTATACCTCGTTTCCATCTTCTGTCATTCCAAAACAATTTTCTTTTCAGTAGCGTAGCACTAGCACTGTAACAAGACGCGCAGTCGTCCGGATGATCTCATCGTCGTGGCGCGAGACTTGAACCCTTGACGGTCAGGTGCACTCGCTCAGCGTACTCACCGAACGTCGTGGGAATAAAGAAGGGCCAGTTATAACAAGACCCTCTAGCCGGGGCAAACCTCACATGTTTCGTCATGGACACCTCAGATACCGACACTCGCCTACCCGACCCTGCACAGCCTGTTTCTCAAATTCAACGCTGCCGTTCCATCCAGCGCGTCGATAGAAAACCTTTTTAGCTTGGCTGGGGACGTCTTTAGGAGGAAAAGGGGAAAACTCTCCTATCAAGAACTTTGTAAGTCAGTTGTTTCTGCGAGCGAATAAACTATTTTGGTGAAAACGCAAGCCATAAAATGACTGCATTTATTTTAGGCTCGCTGGGTTCTTCACGGATCAAAATTGATGTACATTTTGCTACGACAAAAATATAAAAAAGTAACTTCGAAAGTAACTTCAAAGTAACTCGCTACTTTTTTACAGTAGTTAGTAGTTTACTCAATTACTATTACAAATGCGTAATTTCTACTCTACTCTAATTACTTTTGGCGTAAATACTCAGTAACTTAACTTAACTACCTTTTTTGAGTAATTTGTACATGTCTCGATGTGATACCGCTCCCTTGAACACGAATGCGAATAAAAACGAACGCTGTAGCGTTCGTTTTTATTCGCGTTTTTACTGAGCCTATATTTTTTATTTAGCCTTGGAAAGTGAAGCGTGCCACGGTCTTAGAGAGTGGAGCGGCTGCCAAACACCCTTACTACTAGCTTCGCCAATCACGTAAAGCGACTGTAAAAGAAAAAAAAAAAATCAGAAGAGACAGGAGAGAGGATTCTGAGATATTTCGAAAAGACTTTGTCAGCTGCAAAAGCTTCGAAGAAAAAAAAAGAGCAAAAGGAGGTTGTGGCGACGCTAGACAGGCTGTCGCGTGTGTGGGTGGAAGACTGAGACTGAAGTTGGCGTCCGTTGCGTCCCTCAAAAAACGCACTCTTTCATGTGGCGCGTTTTAACTAATAAATCAAAATACACATTTTTTTTTTCTTTTCATTTGGTACAGGTAAATAGAAAAGAGAAGGGTGGAACTGGTATATGAATAACCCTTCTTCGAATCGAATTCTTACATCACGCCGCCGTTCGGTGGACTTGCCTGTTGGTGACCGTCACGACCAGCTGGCTAATTAGCTAAGATTTATTGACCACTTACTCACTGTGTTCAGGGGCCACGTTGCGTTTCTGATATTAAGGTGGCCGTTACTAGACGGCTACATCATATGCTTATTTGCAAAGAGTGTAACGTGTGTACCTATATTTGTTTTATGAGGTCTGATTTTGAGACGGCGCTGTAATGATTCGTGGGTGACGCGAGCGTGTGATGTTTCATTTTTACGCGTTCTCGTGCAAAAGAGGGACTACGATAAACCACGCTCGCGCCGGTAGCTTCGACATCATTGTACACTAAAGGTTGGAAATGGAGTATAGACGTTTTCTGTTTCCTGTCGCGTATCTGGCGTGCGGGACGAAGAAATAATAGAACATTTTAATCTGGAATATGCGAGAGAATATATGAGGCAAAATAAGAATGTGGGACAATCACGCATTTGTCGTAAACACCTTCCAGCGGCGGGGAGATATCAAAAGGATGTTTTACCGCATACCAGAAGTGACGTCATTCAAGATGGCTGCGCTCTTGTGGAAAAGGTGTATAGGAATATCACATTACTAGGCTGTTAAGACCGGCAGCCTCGATGGTGCGGAATGCACGTGGCGAAAGATCTGTGGGAGCTCGCCGTCAGCACGTGCTCAGCAGTCGCGCACACAGCTATGGCCTCCAGTAAATACTATACTTTGAGCATCACTTTAATACAAGGTCGGTGGAAGAAAACTGGTGTATATTCAAAGAACTTATTCACAACCTCATTTCTCGATACGTTCCGGTATGTCGGGTAATCTCTAACCCCAGTTCGCCATGGTTTACGAAACGAAGAAAATGAAGAAAACGAAGAGAATGCTAAGGGAGAAAAAGAGGCTATTCCAGTCGGCAAAAAGAAAAGAGAATGATGACGCCTCGTAGTCTCGCTTCCGTGAATTTGCTAAAACTTGTAAACGTGAAATAAGAACGGCGAAACGTAATTTGTTTGAGAACGACCTGTATAACATTCTTATCTCAAGTCCACGGAGAGTCTGGAAAATTATCAATCCTTCTTCAAAGAAAAGTCTGATCATCTCAGATCGCACTAGAAAGCAGCTGACTGAAAATGAAGTATGTGACAAATTTAATGAATATTTCAGTAGCGTCTTCACTCGCGAAACGTTCCCGACCCCTATGAAAATGGTTAATGCCATTTGAAAGTCATATTATTGCCAAATGGCAACAGCTGTTTACAAATAGTCAATCAGCAGGCAACAGATGTTAATCGTCATTGAGACGTCACCCTGCTGACCCGGATAGCCATTTCGCCACCGTCAACTTTTTGCCGTTCTATTGGTTATTGTCGGTGTATCATCAGTGTATCTACATGTTAACGTTAAATGGCTAAAGGAGGCAATCAAAGGACTATACATTTTATAGTCTTTTGACTGCCTCCAATAGCCAATTAGCATTAGCATGTAGATACACTGGCAATGCACCGACAATAACCAATAGAACGGCAAAAAGTTGACGGTGGCGAAATGGCTATCCGGGTCAACAAGATGACATCTCAATGACGATTAACATCTGTTGCCTGCTGACTGACTGCTCTTAAACACCTGTTGCCATTTGACAATAATACAAAATGGCATCAACCATTTTTATAAGGGCATAATTATCACATAGACGTCAATTGATCGAATTTAGTGACCATTTCGCCATTGTCAACCCCTCGTAAACTTTAAGCTGGCCAGCCAAAAAACTGCAATAGTTTACATGGCCTACCATTGATTCCATGCCTGATACACATAGTGCCGGCTTGGAATATGGGAAGAAAACAAAGATTGAAGGACAATTTAAAGACCCAAAATTTATTTATCACAATGTCATTAAAATGACGTGTTTTTTTTCAAGACTAAGTTAATCACCCAAATGTAAACGATGAGTGAAAAAATAACCTTTCCTTGCTTCCTGACATGTCTGTAAGGTGTCAGCTGAAAGAAGAAAAACATTATAAATTAAGTGGGCATATAACCAGAAATATTCTTGCAGCACATTCAAAAATATGTACAGAAGAACCTTGCTCACATGTTTTCTCGGCTGTTATGTTCACGGAAACCGGTCCTATCGAACGTCCAAAAGTATATATGTGTTAGAATTATAGGCTTCATGAATTTCCTTCTTGGTTCTTATGCCCAAACACTGCCACTCAAGGTGGCCAACATGACTACTAGAAACACATACCCTGTTCCTTTTGCTTTACTCCCTTTATTTTACCTCCTTGCCTCTCTGCACTGTGTTTCTTGCTTGGTCTTGTATGACAATAAGAGATTCAGGCTCTCATGACACCCCATTTTTCTTTACCACCTCCATGCCACCACGTTCAAGCCGTGCTGATTGCATCAAGCCCCACTGCTTTGATGTGGCATGCAGGGTGCAGTGATTTGTTTGAGGCAGCTGTGGTTTAGCTCGATGCGCTCAGAATTTCTGCATCCTTATATTTCAATATTTTTTTAACTGCAACTATAGACAACGCATCACTGCGATGGCGCGGCTGTCAACACAGCCCATGTACACACATGTCTGCTCACACGAATCTAGTTCCTGCGTATGCAGTGCCCATAGCTGCTGTGGGCAAACACAAGCTTGTCTGTAAACAGTGTGTTACTTATAGTTCAACCACAATTTTAAGAAGTGTTGAAAAAATTGTCAACATATAAAATAAGGCAATCTTTTTTACAGCCATAAAAGCTAAGGTAAGGTAAACAGAGAATACAGCTTCCTGAAACATCTATAGCTATCCCAAGGGCATTATCAGTTACGTCTTCGCTCATGTCATGATCCTTTATTGCGACTGCACAAAGATGCAGCAGCAGGGTTCTACTGTATTTAACACAATGTTTGAATGTGCAATAGCTTTAACTTCCACAACACATCAGCCAACCACAGGTTGTCAAAATGTGAACTCCACAATAATGTAATAAGTATGAATACAATAATAATCCTTGGAAAAGGGGTACAAGGGGGAGAAAGGTCAAAGAGGAATCTCCTTTGTCCCCTTGTTCCCCATTTTATTTGATGTGATTATTATCGTCATTCTTGTCTTGAATAAAAGGGTCTACTCGTGTCTCTTAAGAGAGGGAAGCAGCTTACCTGGAAGAGCATAGCGCCCCCGGGACAGAAATCGAGAGAGGCTGTCCTCGACTTGCTTCCCCACATTGCTGTACTCCGTGAAGGTGCGAGCTGAAAGAGCAAATGAGAATTGCAATTTAAAATGATAATAGCCCCTAGAAAGCTACACTCAAGTATTGGTACCCTTTTCCTCATTGTCCAGTTCTGCCAAAAGGGTCATTCATCCATTTGGATGGTGAAATTCGTTCATGCGCATGCAGCTTGTGGGCACTGCCATGTTGTTATTGCGTCATTACTTGAATTTAATGTAAATATTCACTTCACCTTAGACAAAGATTTATCTATTACTTTTGATAAGATCTTTGGATGCTTGGCAATTTTAACAGCAGCTTGGGGAGCGCACTCATAGATGCACCACTCTTCAATCAGTTTGGGGAGTGCGTCTTTAAACGCTCACTCCTTTTATCGTATGGGAGGAAGCACCATCTATCCCCTAACACCAGAAATAATTTTCCTTTAGGAATTAAAGCTATGCTGGTAGCACAAGAAAAGTTCCGTACAAAAAAATATAGGCAAAATAGGGACAAAACATTTTTTTCATGGGTCCCCAGTCAAGGGGTCAAGAAATAGATTAATCTTGTGTGTTAACATTTTTTTCAAAGCAAAAACATGACAGGACTATGTTATCAAGTGTATAGCTCTTTTTACTGTGGTCATAATGAGGCGGCATAGCCATTGTCATTTGCCCAATAATGCTCAACAAACACAAAACTAAAACAAAATTCTCGCAGACCAAGAGCCAATACTACATGCAGTGCAAGTTTTGAGGGTAAACATTTTGGCAGAGGAACTCAAAAACATCCGTCCACACACCCGCATCTGTGTTCCCTACATAAAGGGGACTAGCGAAGCGCTGTCATGTATGCTGGTAAAAGAAAGTATTCAGGTGTCCCACAAACCGGTATCAACACTTTGACGTATGATGCTGCGAATTAAAGGCCATCCCTCTAAACAAAGCGCGCAGGGCATTGTATATTCAATTCCATGCCACCTACATTGGAAAAACAAAGAACTTCCCAGAAAGAATTCAACAACACAAAAACAACTGCAAATTCTACCACGAGCGCAGCGCTGTTGCAGAGCACTGTGAGGACAATGAATATCGCACCAACTTTGCCAACACCCTCATAAATGTTGAGACAAACTTCTGCCAGCAGCTTTTTATAGTCATGGCATATCCAAACAACACCAGGAAACATCAATAGGTCCACTGGCACATTGCCATCATGCTACGTGAACGGACTCAGCCACCTAACGAAGTGAAAAAGAAGAGACTATCGTAGAAGAAAACGAAGCTGTTGTCCCCTATCTGGAAGCAGTCACCCCTGAAGAAAAAAACAAGCTGTTTTTGAAACGTTGGGACCTTGTTGTAGGATATGGTTGGTGATTTTTTTCAAATTCCAATGTATGAGTTTTGCATTTGTTTGAGTCATCATTCACTTTTTTACCACATTTACCCGCATAATGAACACACCTCTTTATTCTGAAATTGACATATATTTAGGGGGTGCGTTCATTATGCAGGGTAAATTTCTGCATTTACACACTTCGCGAAAATGTAATTTTAGGTGGCAGTATGACACGACAAAGTACTGTGGCATGTCTCCACTGACGGAGGCGCATTGACGGCTGGTCGTGGGTGCGCTACAATAACCATGTTCTACAATTTGAAAACCTTTTTTTAGGGTGCTTTCGGTGTGCCTTCTGTCAAAGGAAAAGCACCCTCCTAGTGAATAGTAAAAAAATCTTGCATGTAAGAAATTTAGGTGTCCAATAAAAGCATATGACCAAATAAGATCATATAAAAACCTTATAAAAACGTATGAGAACAATACAGGAAATATATAAGATTATATAAGAAGTTTTAAGAAACTGAAAAGAAGTTTCTTATAAGTTCAAATATAATTTTATATTGTTCTTATATGTTTTTATAAGGTTCTTGTATTTTTTTATATGATCTTATTGAATCATACGCGTTTGTTGGACATAAATTTTTTTACACATTTAAATTTTTTTACTAGGGAAGCTCACTCAGCATGGTGAGTGACGCGACCGTCCTTAGGCCTAACCACTTTCACGATTTCACTGTCCGAAGGCACACTACAGATGACCGCGTGTTTGTTGACATCAATGCATTCGGTGGGCGAAACATGTCCAAAGCTGGGCAATTCCTCGACCCCAGCTTTGTTACGTGTATGCGCCGCTCGGTTTCACTCTTGATCACATCCGCAACTACACACTTGCAGCCATGAAAGCATGTACCGCTATGCTTTGCCTGGTTTGAAGTGGCCTGGCCGCTTGGCGGCGAAAGAAAATTGGCTTGATGGCTAGCCGAGTTGGACGTAGTTTGAGACTCATGGAGCGAGTAGACACGGTAAATAAAAACATTCTAAAACTTCTCAGGTGTTCCTCAAGCTTTGAGTACTGTGACCTATTTAAAGCTTGAGTAATTAACATTCACCTCTAAGCTGACTGTGGTGGTAACTATGCACCCACCGGATCAATCAACCACCTCCCTCTCGTTACCTGACCCCGCCTTCTACACATGGTTATGGGCGGGAGTGTAACACATGGCGAAAGGTAGACATATGACTGGTCCAACGAGCATGTAGCTTCTACTACGATTTCAGCTGGTCATTCAACAGAGTGTAGTGATGCAGCACAAAAAAATTTGTGCCATTTCAGAATGTCTGAAGGAGAACACACCCTCAAACATCCTGAAACTGTAGAGAGTTTCCTGCAAAGCCACTCGATTTGATTGGCCAAGCAGTAAATAAAAGGTACACTCACCAAAGCACTGTGTCGCCCATGATAAGCCTGCAACTCCCTTCAATAATTGGGAAACAACCAAAAAGCCACAGGAATGTAACACTGGATCCTGAAACAGAAAAAAAACAGCATAATGCAGGAATTAACACAATATACAAACCGCTTCAGCGAGTGACACTTAAAACTAGCTACAGTTCTTTGGGCACCGTCTTTTTATTACAGATAATTGTGAGTGAGGACGTGCTGTCATTATTTTTCTAGCCCTGTAAACCTTTCCCATTCGAAGGTCTCCGACGTCGGTTTTGCAAACTTCATAAAATCTGCCATTGCTCCATTATCAAGTTCTAGAGCAAGTGACAAGTTAAAATTTCAATGGTGGAGGCTCACAGACATTAAGCACCTGCTTCAAGCCCCTCGGCTGTCGAGAAAACACTATGTCAACCACTCCGAAACATAGGTTTTGTGCAGAAGAGAGATTGAAGTATGCTACTGATTCAGTAGAACTACATCATATTCATCAACCATTGTTAGCCGATTCACTATGCGACTCATCGTGAAAACGAGACTTGGACTTGGCCAGGGCAATATGTTTTACAGAGAAATGTTTACCGATTTGACGGACGCTGTCATTTTATTAAGCAGCCTTATATATTTGCTCTTTATGAAGCAGATGAAGAGGAGCAAAACACAAATAGTGCTATGGACAACGGCAAGTTGAAGAAGTGATAGGACAAGCGCTACTTGTGGTTCTTCAACTTGTCCTCGTACTGCCATTTGTGTATCACTATTGTTTGAGCAACTTGTCAAGCGGTTCAATTTAGTACCCGTGAAGCGGCTTGTCAGTGGCCTTGTCACTAAAGCAGGGAACATGCAGACAACAAATCACTTTGATGGTGATGAACACAACATTTTCATGTCATCTCAGAAAAATCGCCCCCCGCCCCGCCCTACCCCCCCCCCCCCCCCCCCCCGCCCCGCCCCCGCCCCGCCTCGCCTCGCCTCGCCTCGCCTCGCCCCGCCCCGCCCCGCCCCGCCCCGCCCCGCCCCGCCCCGCCCCGCCCCCCCCCCCCCCCCCCCCCAAAAAAAAAGCTGATCCTGCACTTATGTTGCAGAATGTGTGCATCGTCTGACGGCAGAGACTGGAGGGTCACACTGCAGTTCTCTTTGTGCGTTATACTCCCAGTTTCAATGCGGTGACCAATAAATGTTTCGGTGATGCAAAAAAATAGAAAGAAAAAAAAAGACATTGCTCTGAATATTTTGTTGTTCCCCTTATTTAACTTATCAAAACAAATTTCCCGTTAATTGGACCTCAAGATAAACGTGACACGCCGACCTATTAAGGATAACAGCAATCCAGTCCTCGCCAAATTAACTGAGGGCAATAAAAAAAAAAACAAGGAGGTCATGCAATAATTGTATAGGGGAATGGCAACGGTCCCAGGAAGATATGCTTCAGTTTGTGCAGTATCATTGATTTCCTCATTAGACAAGTGTCATCATCTTTGGCCACTGCTCATGCATTACATTTTAGAGTGAAGCACACTGTACAATGGCATGTTTACTCCATGACATGCCAACCTTTTGCTGGGTTCCCAATTATCCTGAATAACACAAAAATTTGCAAATAAAAGAAGCAGTTAGATCAATAGGTCACAAAAATCTATGTGAAACGAGCAGTCTAGATCAGTGCATGCAGGGTGACTCCATGTGGGGCTGTATAGGAGCTTTACAACCACCCCAATACCTTGTTAAATCAAACCCAATTATCCTCTGCTAAATGTGTGAGCTACATGGTCTTGGTAGACAGTTCAAATTCCTCACTTACCCCGCATATAAGTCCTAGAGTTGTATTCACACTGCTTGCGTTTGCTTTGGCCTCCACCCCCCCCCCCCCCCCCCCCCACCCATTTTCTCCCACACTAGGTGGCAGAAACACTGTTCTTATTCTGCATGTGGCTGATTATTAAAAGCCTTTTGGCTTTTCAATTTAAGTAAATGCACATATTGAAAAGGAGCTTATTGCCTAGTAATCAGGTCTACGAGAAAATTTTGAAGTGTAGAATATATGAAGTTTGCTAGACCTATGGCGGACAATATTTACCCTCCAAATCAAAGCAGCACCAAATGTGTCAGCCATGTGCCCATGACAACTTCAGATGAGACTAATAACAAATGCATAAAGCATATGATAATTACAGAACGACCCGATACTATGACCCAGAAAGTTGAACAAGCTTACGTGAACACGCTTACAAAAAGATATCTAGAATGCCAAAGAATCAATGGAAATAAAAATAGGAAGACTTGACTGATCCTCTCTGAAGTCCCAATCTTGGTATCAATAGCATGCATCGATGCTTACAATCATGCTCTGCGGTGTGGCCAGAAAACACACCTGAGTGAAGCTCCCAATCATTATGCTCTTAGGTGGACAAAAGGCTCACTTCAAACAGCTTTCAGCAATAAAAAAAAAGCATGCCAGATACTAACATAACATGGTTTCCCCAAAAATAAAACATATAAATCTCCAACATCTTTAGGGGCTAAGGAAACAACCAAGGACGCACAAGAATGAAGCACCTCATCCCAAAGTGAATGGAACGCCAAGGTGCAACACATCGCTCTCCTAAGCAACTAACACTACTTACAATTTTTTTAACACCTTCCTGGTAAACTAAGAGCGGGAATATTAATTATAATTACATGTGGTGCATCGCCTTCAGGATTGCTGGATGATGTGAAACTCTGTAAGATCTTCAAGATTAAAGTGAGCAGAAATTTTTTACTTGGCCTGAAAATGCCTCATACTTTGTATCTTGTTCAGAGTTAAGCAATAACACCATAGCTATCTACTAACACATTACGCCTAGAAAGTATCACCTACGTAAGACAAGAATGATTCAGACACTACCTATTGTTAGCGCCATTTTGTAAAAGAGACTTGCACAGTCTGCTCACTTTCCATGTGGCACACCCATGAGTTCTTTCGCCGGGCAGATGTGCCAGACGCATATTAAATCTCTCACACCGGCCTCCATGTCCACAACAAGGCTCTAACATTTCAGAAGTGTGGTCACGTGGCCATGCCCCTCTGCAGATTGACTGCTGTGGTGACATGTAGCTCAACAGCGGTGGACTTCTCCTACTAGAACCTCAACATGGAAGGAACGAATTCCCAAGGGCTACGGCAGAATGTGCGGAACTTGAACTGACCAGCTGTGGCGGCAAACCCTCTCCAAGTTCCAGCCACCATTTCAACAGGGACGACGGGGAGCAAAGGCTTTGTCAGTAGCGACGGCACCCCCACGAGCCAAAGTCCGTGGCAGCACCTGCGACAAAGAGCCCTTGCATAATCCCTGTCACCACTCCGGCTGGGATCACAGGGAGCACAAATGATGGCGGTGGAGCCACCACGAGCCAGAGCTACATGGCAGCACCTGCAGCAGCGAGGCCCCCACAAGTATACCACTCACCATCTTGAATGGGAACTCGGGGAGCGCAAGCGCTGGGAGGTGACGACAGCGCCACCACCAAAAATGATGTGGCAGCACAAGAACCAGGTTCTGATGACAACAGGTGCTGACATCCAAGTCAACTTGGTGGCTGTCCAACCAAACAGACGTGACGCGTACCTGAGAAGGCAAATAATGTTTTGTAGTGATCGAAGTGGCCAAAAAGTTTTTAAGCGAAACTCAGCATTCAACTCTAATGATGAGCCACGCTGTTTCGACTATGATCGACATGTCTGCGAATCGCTCTAAACCGCAGAAGTGTGAAGGCTGCATCAATTTTAATGGACATGGACAAATAATGGACCATTTTTGTGTGCAGGCAACAAACTGTCAGCGAAAACAGTGATGAAAACTCAAGTGAGTTACTCCGACACTGCTAAATAAATAGGACAGCTTACCTTCATCTCCTATTGATATCTGCCATTAAGCCTGTACCTCGGCACTGTAGGTGATGTCAGTGGTGTCCGTCTCAGGGAACTCAAACTAGTAGTTCACTGAGCAACTCCTCCTTGACCAGGCCTGCAGCGATTATAAATATGAAGAACAGATATATTACGTTACATAAATGACACAAGATAGAAAAGGCACAGACAGTACCATACCTTCCAAGTTTGGGGACACCGAATTCGGGATAATTTCTAAGCAGGGGAGGGTGTTTTAAAAAGAAATATTGGGAACAAATTTGCATGAAGACAACTTCATTATATTTATATATTGCACTGCCTATGCTCATGGGATTGCAGCCGTCCACAGTGATGGCAAAAACTCTTTAGTACAAAAGAGAGGGGGAGGGTAATTTCTCTTTTCGGGAAGTTTTTCTAGCTGTCAATCATACAAACTGATCAAAATTTAAAAGACTTCTGGGTAATACGGGGAAGTTGGCAGGTGTGCAATACTAAACAGACACAATTTGCTACCGGCAATGGCAAAAGAGAGTGCAGGTTGGATCAGCTCTGCATAAAGGTATACGCACTCCGGAATGCACTTCGGACGGAAATGGCTATACGCACTCCGCTTTTCTCGCATAAAACGAGTGGTCACAACGAATTTTCTAAGCGGAGGCATGGCATAGGGGTCAAGGTGTCCGCTTCATACGCAAGTGGACGCGGGTTCCATCCGCAGTAGGCCTGCTTTTTTTTCTTTTTTTTTTTCTCAAACATTTTGTTTTGTCGAGGCATTTGGCAATATTTAGGTCATTTTTTTTTTTTTTTTTTTTGCGATAAACAGTAAAAAAAAAAAAAAAAATCGAGTGTTGAGAAACTTTGCAAAACTAAATGGCATGGGACTCCCTTTCGAGGTGCGATCGGGGACAGCGGGGCTTGGATTGCCGGCTGGACGCCGCGAAGCGGCGTGTACTGGTTACGATTTGTAATTAGCAGCCGATACCGTCGCCGCGAAGCGGCGTGAACGCAGGTGGGGGGCTGTGTTAACGAGCTCCCCAGTGATACACGCGCCGTTCTAAAAGGGTGGCCCGAGCGGCATGATCTCTCGGAGGAGTGCGTATAGCCATTTCCGTCCGAAGTGCACTCCGGAGTGCGTATAGCTTTACTCTCTCTATATATACATATAGTGCAGTAGATCAAACGGCTCCAACCACAATGTTTTCTTTTTTTACGCGTTTCGCTCGCGTCGCTTGAGATCACCCACAGCGATAAGACGCGCGGGCCGACAAAGAAACCTGGCCAGTACAGATATGGGTAGGCAGCGATGCGTGCCGACGCGAAGTGACGACCCACGTGCGATAAAACGTTTGACAGGATAGCTAGGTTCGACATTGTACATGTACCTTTTTTTAGTACACGGAAGTGACGTCATCACGTCTGATTGGTTGGAAACAAAAGTGACGTAATTTCCCTAGAAAACTGTGGGCGGAGTCGGCAAAACTGGGCGGAGTCGGCTACCGGACGTGACAACAAAATGACGTTTCGTTTTGTACCGAGTACGTTTCAAAAGGTACTTGCTCGGAACTAGGTGTCATTGACAGCATGTGTTCGGCGGCGAGGCGTCGCCGTCTCGTCAATTCGTCTTTTTCTTTAATAGAGCTTTTTTTTTCGCCAGAAAGGCTGTATCGGGAACACCGCGATGCATTCGAGCTCGCGGAGGAGATCTTTTGGAAGCAATACCGCCTGCCCAAGATCGTGGTGCGGTGGTTGTGCGACGAACTTCGCGAGGAACCGGAGGTGAGGAGAGTGCGTACCTCGTGGACGGTCATGACTGTGGAGCTTCAAGTGTTGTGTGCACTGCACTTCTACGGCACGGGGAGCTTCCAAGGCATGGTGGCGAGCGACGAACACGTAGCGCGGGACCAAAAGACAGTCAGCGTTGCGGTCCGCGCCGTGTCCGTCGCTATCGTGCGTCGTCTCGGGGTCCAGCGTGGCTGTATCCACTTCCCCGAGACGCCGAGCGAGAGGTTCGACGCGGAGAAGGGCTTCAGGCTGCTCGGCAGGATATCCGGCGTCATCGGTTGCGTGGACGGGACCATGGTCTCCATCGTCGGCCCGTCCAAGAACGACCCCACCGTCACGAAGGCGGCGTACTGGTGCCGCAAGTACTTCTACGCCCTTAACGTGATGGTGGTAAGTACACTCATGTTACGTTGTCAAAACGCGCCCCAAATCTGTAGAAAAAAAAAAAACGTATTGCCGATACCGTTTAAGTATGCCGTTTTATGACTGCGGGCTGTGGGGTCTCACGACTGCGCGAGCGTGTGCTCTACGTAGCATGTGAGCCGTGAGACTCTTCTCCCAAAAATAATATTTGTCTGTTAAAACGTGCAAGCTTCCGTAAAAAAAAAAAACACATTATTTTTGTTTCAAGGTAGTTAGTTGTACCTTGCATCCAGGAAGGTGTGTTGACATGCATGTGTCAGACAAAATAACTTAAAAGGTTCTGAAATTGCGACTGCTTTGTGAACCATAAGTACAATCTACTACTTGTGGATTCAGGTAATTACATGTCAATATATCTCTCACTTTCAGGTCTGTGACGCCGACTGCCGGATAATGTGCATCGACCCACGGTATCCCGGGTCGGTGCACGACTCCTTCGTGTGGCAATTTTCCTGGCTCCGAAACCAACTCGAGCAAGGGCAGGTGCCACGCGACGGCCGGTTCCTGCTTGGTGAGCATATTAATTCATTCCTTACGCACACGGTGGCTCCCACTGCTTGAAAGCCACAGTACCACACGTACTGTGCTTGTTGTGAGGCACACAGACACAGTTGATGGAACTCCTTGAAGTGAGACAACACCCAAAGTTTGGCCATTAATCTCTGTTTATGTCCACATAACTCTCACACTCTGCAGGCTACGAAAGCCACACTACACCAATCTCACGACAGTGATAGACTATGCAAGGAATGCGACCGC